CTTAATTGGCATTTTTGCTAGGAAATATTATTTTTTTTAAAGATTTTATTCATTTGAGAGAGAGAGAGCGCACAAGCTGGGGGGAGGGGCAGAGGGAGAGGGAAAAGCAAGACTCCCCAGGAAGCCTGATATAGGACTCAATCCCAGGACCCCAGGATCATGACCAAAGCCAAAGGCAGATGCTTAATGGACTGAGCCACCCAGACACCCTGGAAATGTTATTTTTTAACAAATTTTACTGAGTGTATCTTGTATTTAAATTTTATTGGTAGTTGTTGAGGGCTTGTAAAAATGAATAAGATATAGCAGTGCCCTCAAGTTTGTTTGTTTATTTGACAGGAGAGTAAATTTTTGTATACTAAATATAAGCATAAACAAAAACAAGACATAAAAATGTGTAGTATTACATATTGTGTATAGTCTATTATGTCATATATAAAACAAGTAAAATAAGTATCTTATAATCATTTGAGAAGTATAAGAAAGATAAAATACCATGGGGATTCACTGAGAGGAGAAATAATTTCCATCTCAGCAGAACAACTTAAGGTTTTGTGGAATTATCCATAAAATGAATTCATTAGAAATTTAAAGTTAGAAGTTGGACACATTTTATAGAATATACTGTTTATAAAGGCTTTGTCTTTTTTATTGAATAAAATGGCTTACCTTTATGAATTTAGAAGATAGAAGACATTAACAGTGTTTTAGTCTGATAGGAAGGTATTTTATACGGTGATATGATTTTCTTACCAGTTCCTTTATATTTGCCATTGAATTTCCTGCTAAAAATTTTCATGTATTTTATAAATACAAATTTTTATCTTCAGTGAAGTATACTGAAATTAACCTATACCAAGTTTATATAACATCTATCACCAGAAGATAGTAAAGTACTGAGAGACAAAAAGAAATGCCTCTGTAATAAAAACAATTGGTTACCTAATCAGGAAAAGCTGGAGAACTCAAATGCACAAAATAAGATATGGTAATGGAAAAATAACTAGAGAGGTAGAGAACATTAGAAGACTCAATAAATTCTTTTTTGCTTAGCTCTGAGCAAATTTGAAAATTAGAATAAAAGGAAGGGAAATACAAATTACTAAAACTTAATCCCAAAGAAAATTTTAAAATATAAAAACACCAATTATAGAAATGTAGAAGAAATTGCCTCTCCCCACAGAGATACCTGGATTAAACTCACAGGCAAATTCTACCAAACCTGTAATGAATGGTTAAATTTGTTGCCATTTAAATTATAATACTATACATTTCAAGGTTATTTTTAAATGAAAGCTTGCAATATCTTTCTTTTTTTGAAAGATTTATTTATTTATTTATTTGAGAGAGAAAGAATGAGACAGAGAGAGAGCATGAGGGGGGGAGGTTCAGAGGGAAAAGCAGACTCCCCACTGAGCAGGGAGCCCAATGTGGGACTCGATCCCGGGACTCTAGGATCATGACCTGAGCCAAAGGCAGTCGCTTAACCAACTGAGCCACCCAGGTGCCCGCAATATCTTTTTTCATAAGCTAGTATAACATTAATCCTGGTCTTCCCATAAATACCACGTGAAATGTTTAAATATAAATCCTATCATAATTGATTATCTATTATTACTCTATAGTATAAATATGTTATTATAATATAAAAAATCCTAAGAAAAGTTAACAAAAACCAGAAGCATATAGAAGATACTATCAAGTGTGGTTTATTCTACCAGTATATAGATGGTTTAGGAAATATATAAACATAATAGGATAATATATCAGAAGTAAAAAATCAAGTAATCATTTCTATGGTTTCTTAAAAACATTTGATAGATTTATCATAACATTCTTGATTAAATTCTTAATAAAAAGGGACTATGTGAATATTTCCTTAATGTAGTGAAAATCACCCATCTATCTATATCTGCCTGTTAGTAGATAGATTGATTTCAACCCAGAAGTTAGGAAGTTTAAAACAAAATATTTATTAACACCACTATCATTTGCCAGTGTATACCTGCTACTAATGAATGCAGTTGGACCAGGAAAAGAAATCATATATATATATATATATATATATATATATATATATATATGTATATAAAGTGGAAAGAAGATAAAATTTTCATTTTTAAAAGTGAAATTACTAGAAACAAAAATTCCAGGAATACAAGGTTGGTTAAACATTAGGTAATTAATTGATTTATTTAAAATCATTAGCATATAAAAGGAAAAGAATCATGTTCTCTTTGTAATATTTGCAGAAGAGATGTTCAAAAATTTTCAAAATTTATTCATGATTAACACAGAAATTTTTGCAAAGAAACTATAATGGTAAAAGGTTAAAAGTATTTTTAAAAGATGAGGATCAAGACAAAGATGTCAGCTATCACCAGTTATTTTCATATTAGCAGTTTTAACACATAAGGCAGCAAAAGAACTAAAAACTATAATTATAGAAAGGAGGAAACAAAACTGTCACTGTAAACAAATCAGTTAAGCATAACTGATTTGCTTGTCTACAAAGACTACTCAAAAGAATTCTCCCATAAATGCTTAGTTAAGCATAACTTATTTGCTTATCTACAAAGACTACTCAAAAGAATTCTGCCATAAATGCTGAGGGTTTAGTGAAGTTGCTAGATACAAAATTAATACAAAGAAATTCTTTACACATTAGCAAAAGAATATGAAATACCTAATAAGAATCTAAGTAGGTATTTTACCTCTGAAAGCACCTCTATGAAAGAAATATAAATCATTTTTAAAAGACATTATGAAAGGCCTAGATAATTATAGATATCTGTTCATATATTGTTAGATTTGGTATTGGAAAAATGCCAGTTCTCCCCAAACTGTTCTACATTTGATCTAATTTCAATAAAAATTCCAACTCTGTGTGTGTCAGAGAGAGGGAAAGGGAGGGAGAAATAGAAAGAAATAACTTGACAAGATAGTTCTAAATGTAAAAAAAAAAAAGTTCTAAATGTATACATATAGAACAAACATCTGAAAAGTACCTAGACACTCCTGCAGAGAAATTAAAAGGTGTGTGTGGTTTCTTTTGGCGGGGGGAGAGTCAACGTTTTAATTTTTTATTTAAATTCAATTAATTAACATATAATGTATTATTAATTTCAGAGGTAGAGTTCAGTGATTCATCAGTTGCATATAACACCCAGTGCTCATTACATCACATGCCCTCTTTCATGCCCATCACCCAGTTACCCCATCCCCCACACCACTCCCCTCCAGCAACCCTCAGTTTATTTCCTATGATTAAGAGTTTCTTATGGTTTGACCCCCTCTCTGATTTAGTCTCATTTTATTTTTCCCTCCCTTCCCCTTTACTCCTCTGTTTCATTTCTTAAATTCCACATATGAGTGAAATCACATGACAGTTGTCTTTCTCTAATTGACTTATTTCGCTTAGCATAATACCCTCTAGTTCTATCCACATCATTGCAAATGGCAAGATTTCAATTTTTTGATGGTTGCATAATATTCCAGTGTATATATACATACCACATCTTCTTTATCCATTCATCTGTTGATGGACATCTGGGCTCTTTCCATAGTTTGGCTATTGTGGACACTGCTGCTATAAACATTGAGGTGCAGGTGCCCCTTCGGATAACTACATTTGTAACTTTGGGGTATATACCTAGTAGTGCACTTGCTGGGTCATAGGGTAGCTCTATTTTCAACTTTTTGAGGAACCTTCATACTGTTTTCCAGAGTGGCTACACCAGCTTGTATTCCCACCAGCAGTGTAAGAGGGTTTCCCTTTATCCACATCCTCGCCAACATCTGTTTCCTGACTTGGTAATTTTAGCCATTCTGACTAGTGTGAGGTGGTATCTCATTGTTTTTGATTTATATTTCCTTGATGCCGAGTGATGTTGAGCATTTTTTCATGTGTCTGTTGGCCATTACATCTTCCTTGCAGAAAGGTCTGTTCATATCTTCTGCCCATTTCTTGACTGGATTATTTGTTCTTTGGGTGTTGAGTTTGAGAAGTTCTTTATAGATTTTGGAAAAAGATGTGTGTGTTTTGAGAGGACTTGTCTTAGCAATTATTGGCAATTATTTATATAATGTTATAGACTTAAGATAGTATAATGGTACAGTGTCAGACAGTTTTACCAGTGGAACAAAATAGAGAACCAAGATGCAAATCAACATGTAGGTGAGATTTTATTTGTGGTAGAAGCTGGTACTATGGACTAGTTTGGGGGGGAGATAGAGTTTTCAATAAATGGAATAGGGCTCAGTTGATTATCCGTGTAGGAATGGAACTTCTAAAATGTTCTTCAGAGTTTGGTCAAATAAATTAAGTGCATTAATACAATGAAATTATTGGCAGTTTTCAAAGAGAATATGCAATCTATAGTTATTTTTATAGAATGATCTCTAAAATGTACTTTAAGTGAAAAAAACAAAGGTGTGCAGGGTAGTATGTATAGTATGCTGCCCTGTGGGGCAGTGGTGATGGATAGTCAAGTTTATCTTTATCTGTAAATATGTATGGGTGCCTGGAGTACAGAAATGGGAGAGAATCTTAGTTTTCAATTTATGTATCTTTAAAGATTTTGACATTCCTACTACTCAAAAGAATATGTACTATTTTCCAAGAAAAAAATGCACTTTAAATAATAGCTAAGTGTAAGGGGAAAAGAGTTGGTAAGGAGGAAAGGAAAACATCTGAAAATAGAATACTGCAAGATGGCAATGTGTTAAAAAGAGAGGAAAGCAAAGAAAGGAATTAATGCTTCAGAGAGACACAATAGTTTTAAAATTATTTGAGACGCATATATATTTTTCTCTTGATTTCTGGACATGAAGACCTGTATTATGATGGTTAGTTTAGAATTCTTCCTAGCAAAAATTGTTAATTTAATTGCACTGGACTTTTACATAGATCTTATCATACAGATAGTAAAAATGTAGTACTACTTTTCCCCCCTTTGTAGTTTGTAGTAATTATTCATTTATTTAATATATCATTGTAGGTATCCATCATACTTGGCACCCGAGGTAATTGCACAAGGAATTTTGAAAACCACCGATCATGTGCCAAGTGAAAAACCATTGCCTTCTGGCCCCAAATCAGATGTGTGGTCTCTTGGAATCATTTTATTTGAGCTTTGTGTGGTATGTATAAGGAAATATTAAACTAATAAAAAGAAATTGTGTGCTTATTAGAATAAGTTTTTCTGATAAGAAAGCTATTTAGTAATATGTTTTTGCTTTGTGGATTGACTAGATATAAGAAAAAAAAGGCTTAAATCTCAATATGACTTGTTAAAAAATCCTGTTTGACAATTTATTTGCTTATCATTTTAGTATCTTTATAAGTGTTTGTACTTTACTAAGTATAAAGAATTTACACTGTACTACGTATAAGTAATTAAGCGGTTCTAGAAAGGCTTACGCTAAAGCTGCTTACACTCTTTGATATGTTCATGCTCTCCCTTTCTGTGGTATTTTTTCCCTTCTTCTCTCCTGTTCTCTTATGTTTTCTACAAGACTCGCTTTGTAGTTGAGTTGTGTTTTATTAGATCTTTCCCAGACATCCTCTATATTTGTTAGGGCAAAGACTAAGCTGCTATTGAAAAGAAAGAAATTAAAAATGTAGCTTACACTCTTTGATATGTTCATGCTCTCCCTTTCTGTGGTATTGTTTTTTCCCTTCTTCTCTCCTGTTCTCTTATGTTTTCTACAAGACTCACTTTGTAGTTGAGTTGTGTTTTATTAGATCTTTCCCAGACATCCTCTATATTTATTAGGGCAAAGACTAAGCTGCTATTGAAAAGAAAGAAATTAAAAATGTAGTAGCTTAAAGAACATAGATGTTTTTCTCTCTGATTTAACAGTCCACTTCATGCACAAACCTAGGCTATGGCTCCACCAATCTCAAATGTCTGGTTTCCGAAGTTGTTTCTTTATCGCCTTTTAGGCATAAGGGAAGGAGAGAAGTGAGTTCATGGTAACTGTTCTTTAAGAAGATGATCTAAAAGTGCAAAAATCAACCCTTTACTTTTCATTGGTGACAGTTTATTCATGTGGCTACATTGCATATCTGTACAAGGGAGACTAAGAAATACAGTCTTTAGCTAGACACACAAATATTGAGAAAGAAGATGAGAATGGATTTGGAGGGACAACTAACAGTCTCTCAGCTCTACTTTCAAATACCTGCCAGCATTAGGTCCTTATCTTCCTTGCTCTCCTCTTCTATTATAGTATGTGTCACATTTGTGTACTTTACTTGGACTTTTAGAAGTCTTAAGAGTAAGAAGTCTTTAGAAGCAGAAATTTTTTGTCTATTATATAATTGTTAGAAAAATTAAATGAAATAATATAAAGTACTTAGTACAGTCTGTTACATAGCAAATTGTCCATCAATGTTATCTTTTATTATGAATATTAAAATATCTTATGATTATTTAACTTTAATCATAAAATATTTTAATATTCATAATAACATGGCAGCTTTACATATTGGCATTGCTTTTTCTAAGGGAAAATGCCATTTTACTTTTCATTGATATGAAATGATGGCAAATCTCATTTTTGTTTAAAATCATACCCTAAATGAAAACTCTTATTGGAGGGATGCCTTGGTGGCTCAGTCGGTTAAGCATCTGCCTTCTGCTGGGGTCATGATCCCGGAGTTCTGGGATGGAGCCCCTCATCGGGCTACCTGCTCAGCAGGGAGTCTGCTTCTCCCTCAGCCCTGCCTCCTGCTTATGTTTTCACTCTCTCTCTCTCAAATAAATAATTAAAAAAAAAAAAAACTTTTATTGGAATGTGAAGTATAAGTAAGTGTAAATGCGAAATATATGGCTTTTCCTTTTTTTTACATCACGTATATCTAAACTCTTTACTAATGATCAGGATATGTCTTATATGAGTAATTCAATTCAACAAATATAGATGACTATTTACTCTGTGTATAGCATCATGACAAATGCAACAAGAGGTAAACTGTGATTAAGACACATTGTCAAAGAGCTTATAATTTAACTCAAATCCATAAACTTTGAAGATAAACACAGAAGAGCTATGTGAATTCCAAGAAAGGAAATACTAATTTCATAATAGGGGAATCATGACATTTTAAGTGATACTTAAGTTTAGACAGTCTAGTTTTAGAATGGCATATTGAACATAAGCTTGAATCTTCCTCTACCTCATCAAAACTTTAAAATATTAAGATATAAATTAATAGCACACTAACAACTAAAAAGGGAACTTTTGTACACTAGAAATCCTAGGAAATAGAGGAAAAGCTATACCAAAACAGTTTTGCTAGGAAATTCTTGCCATGTCACCAGAAGGCTGTACAGCCACTCTGCCGCCCAGAAGTTTCTGTAGTCCAAAAGATGTACAGGTGAGTACATATCTAAGAAATACCAAACACCTAAAACAATACATCTACAATATGATACATGCTGTAAATACACATATCTGCAATAAAAAAGAAACAACACATAGAAAAATTTACACCTTTGAAAGGACTTTAAAATAAAAGTATGTGTTCTTTAGGAGATAAAGGAAACAATTCCATTTATGAAACAATTATAGAAACTATGAATCAATATTTGCTGAAAAGAAGAACCAGTTAATAATTTTAAGAGAAAAAAAATGTAACTCTTGAAATAAAGAACTAAATAGATGGCAGAGGAAACTAGACACACTGAAGGTAGAAGGTAAAGCTGAGTATTCTCCCAAATTATATCATAAAGAAATAAAGAGATTGAAAATATGAAAGAAATTTTAAAAGACAGGGAAGATAGATCCAGATGTTCTAATATCTGTCATATAGTAGTATCAGAAGCCAAGAGTAAAGTTCTTGGTTTGAAAGAACCCACTAATTATGTTGCAGAGCAAAAAAAAAAAAAAAAAAAAATTGCAATGTACAACAACAAATACCTTGAAATCATAAACTTTTAGGAGATAACCAATAATGAAATAATGGGTAACATTTATTAAGAACTTTTCAAAAGTCAGGTACATTTCTAATCTCTATTATACTCAATCAATACTCACACCAGTCTTATAAAATTTATCTGATTGTTATCTGTAGTTTACAGATCAGGAAATTGAGGTACAGAGAAATTAAGCAACCTGTCCTAGTTACATAATAGTAAGTACTTGAGCAGATTTGTACCCATCAACTATACCCAAAGCTGTACTCTTAACATGACAAGCTGCCTTTACTAAGCTCTGATGACTTTATCAGTGTTAGCGAGAAAACCTTAAAATGTGTCAGAGAGAAAAGACGTACTACCTACCAAGAATGAGATTGACATTAAACTTCTTACTAGCTTGTTTTTTTTTTAATATTTTTTTTTATTTATTTTATTTGAGAGAGAGAGAATGAGAGATAGAGAGCACGAGAGGGAAGAGGGTCAGAGGGAGAAGCAGACTCCCTGCTGAGCAGGGAGCCTGTTTCTCCCTCTCCCACTCCCCCTGCTTGTGTTCCTGCTCTCTCTGTGTCTCTCTGTCAAATAAATAAATAAAATCTTTAAAAAAAAAAAAAAGTGCTGAGAGAAAGTAACTTGAATTTTGAATTCTTTAACTCACAAAATTAACATTCAGAAGTGGCAATGAAATAGAGGATATATATAAAATTTTGATAGCCATGAAGAAAAAAATTACTAGTAGGGAAATCAGTCAAAATCATATGATCTTATGATATCATCAATATGCCTGAAAAGACAGTATATTCACTGTATTGTAAGTAATCAAATTGAACTGCTGTGTGTGTGTTCATCATAGGTAAATAAATAGTAAACACTTAGAATGAAAAGGTATCTTAGAGTCATATCCTAGGAGATTTTGAATGCTAAACTGAGAAGTTTATATTTAGTTATATAAGGTATGGGGGACCATTTAAGTTTTTAAACAAGATATTGATAAAATCAAACCTGTATTTCTAAAAGATTAATAAGATAGTGTAAAACATTGAGAGAGGAATGGCAACTTTTTTTCAATGATCTTCCCATCTGTAGTTCTAATTTCATAAATCTTTAAGAAATCTTTATGCTTTCTCTTTATTACAAAAGAACAGAGTCTTTTTTTCTCCACATAAAGACCAGGCTGTCTTCTTAAGACTTTCCTTCTAAGTCCACTTAAAGGATCCTGTAAGTTTAATTTGTTTGTAAGAAAAGAATAATAGCTGGGCACCTGGGTGGCTCAGTTGGTTAAGCGACTGCCTTCGGCTCGGGTCATGATCCTGGAGTCCCTGGATCGAGTCCCGCGTCGGGCTCCCTGCTCAGCAGGGATTCTGCTTCTCCCTCTGACCCTCCCCCTTCTCATGTGCTCTCTCTCTCAAATAAATAAATAAAATCTTCAAAAAAAAAAAAAGAATAGCCAACATTTATGAAGGATTTTTTATGTTCAAAAAATGTGAGGCGCTTTTTTATACATTCTATAATCCTCACTGCAACCTGTATGGCATGGACAGTTAGTGTTCCAATTTTATAAATGAGAAAAGTGAAACTTAATGTGGGTATTTGCCCAGGTTATATAACTTGTGGCCAAAAGTCCAATTTGGCACACAATAGTTGCTTGACACATAATTGTTGAAGTTATGACTGATTCCAGACTGTATTTTAAGCAGCCTCCTGAAGCTGAATAATAAGGAAACAATTAAAATACAATGTATGTATCTTAAATATACCAGGTGCTATGGGAGCGCAAAGGATGGTTATCAAATTCATTGTGGGAGGAGGAGGGAGTGTCATTGAATGTTTCTTAATGGAGACAGCAGATTACCCGGATAACGGTATATAAGTAAGAATTAGTTGGGTAAATGTAAAGATATTATGAATCTTTCCATGGGTCATCTTAGTCTCTTAATCAAATAAGCCTGGAATCTCTCTAGACAGCCAGGTATATATAGGTCTCAAAAGTGAAGAATACTTGAGAACAAACTAGAATGTAATGATACTTAAATATATGAAATGTTTAAATCTTAAACTGACAATTTTTCTTTAGTGGAGCTAACTTTAAAAGTCAAATAAAACCTTTGAAGAAAAAAAGAGATACCTGATAAAATCATTTTCATCTCTGGGGGAAAAAAAATGCCTCCCTGAAAAAAGATGTAAATATTAACACGAATTTCTTTTCCCATTTTATTCAGGGAAGAAAATTATTTCAGAGCTTGGATATTTCTGAAAGACTAAAATTTTTACTTACATTAGGTAAGTGTCTCACAAATGATTATGTTTGAACTACAAATATAACCTTTAGTAAGCATATACATTAAGAATGTGTTCTATAATAGTGAATACACTGAAATATCCTGAATTTCTTTAATGTTCTAATGATCAATGGTAAGCATTAATAGGACAACTTAAGAAGTGCCTTCTGAAGTATTATTGTAGCACTTTCCTTACTCATTAAGGAATTATAATGTGGATAGATATTTTCTTAGCTTCATGATCTAGACAAGTAAACTAAGTTGTAAAATCAAAATATGAGAATAAATACACTTCTCTGTAGCAGTTTACCTTAAGACAATATATCTTAAGTTTTGAGCTTTCTATTTGATGAATCATGTGTGAATAATGACTGAGAAGAATATTTTTCCTTATAAGAAGCTCATTTATTTTACAGGTATATTAGATGCTAATGTGGTAATAAAGAAGAGAAAGATTGATAGAGCACTTTCTATGAAAGAGTGACAGATTGGTATCCACATTAATAGGGTTTACAAATAAGAATATGTATTGAAAAGTATCAACAAATAAATAATAATGAATTATAAATATAATTGCATAAAATGTTACCATATTTACAACATTTAATTTTCAAAGATTGATAATAAGGCTTTTAAGGAGTCTTAGAGATTTCTTAATATGGTCTACAGACTAAACTTAGACTTTATTTTTTTAATTTTAATTCTAGTATAGTTAATATACAGTGTTATATTAATTTCAGGTGTACAGTATGGTGATTCAACAATGTATAGACATTACTTAGTCCTCATTATGATGAATATACTCTTAATCCCCTTCACCTGTTTCACCTGCCTCACCCGCCCCATCTCCCTTCTGGTAACCATCAGTTTGTTCTCTATAGTTGAGTCTATTTTTTTTTTTGTCTCTTTATTTTTTTCTTCATTTGTTTTGTTTCTTAAAATTCTACATATGAGTGAAATCATATGGTATTTGTCTTTCTCTAACTTATTTCACTTAGCATTATACTCTCTAGATCCATCCATGTTGTTGCAAATGGCAGGAATCTGCTCTTTTTTGTAGCTAAGTAATATTCCACTGTGTATATATACACCACATCTTTGTTATCCATTCATCTATCAATGGATGCTTGGGCTGCTTCCATAATTTGGCTATTGTAAATAATGCAGTAAACATAGGGGTGCATATATCTTTTTGAATTAGTGTTTTCATATTCTTTGGGTAAATACCCAGTACTGGGTTTACCGGATCATATTTTGAGGAACCTCCATGCTGTTTTTCGCAGAGGCCGCACCAGTTTGCATTCCTACCAGCAGTGCACAGTGTTCCTTTTTCTCCACATCCTTGCCAACACTTTTTGTTTTTTGTGTTTTTTTTTTTTTTTTATTTAGCCTGACAAGTGTGGGGTGGTATCTCATTGTGATTTTACTTTGCATTTCCCTGATAATGAGTACTATTGAACATTTTTTCACATGTCTGTTAACCATCTGTATGTCTTCTTTGGAGAAATATCTGTTCATGTCTTCTGCCCATTTTTAGTTGGATTAATTTTTTTTTAAGGTGTTGAATTGTATAGGTTCTTATTTTATTTTACAGTATAGTTAACATACAGTGTTATATTAGTTTCAAGTGTACAATATAGTGATTCAACAGTTGTCTAAGTTCTTTATATATTTTGGAAACTAACCCTTTATCAGATATGTCATTTGCAAATATCTTCACCCATTCAATAGTTTGTTTTTTGTTTTTGTTGGTTGTTTCCATCACTGTACAAAAGCTTTTTATTTTGATATAATCCCAACAATTTATTTTTGCTTTTGTTTCCCTCGCCTCAGGAGATATAGCTAGAAAGATGTTGCTACAGCCGATGCCAGAGAAATTCCTGCCTGTGATCTTTCTAGGGTTTTTATGGTTTTGGGTCTCACAGTTAGGTCCTTAACCAATTTTTAGTTTATTTTTGTGTATGGTGTAAGAAAGTTCTCCTGTTTCATTCTTTTCATGTGGCTGTCCAGTTTTCACAAGACCATTTGTTGAAGAGACTGTCTTTTTCCCATTGCATTTTCTTGCCTCCTTTGTGGAAGATAAATTGGCCATGTAAGCGTGAATTTATTTCTGGGCTTGCTCTTCTGTTCCATTGATGTATGTGTCTGTTTTTATGCCAGTGCCATAGTGTTTTGATTACTACAACTTTCTAGTATTTCTTGATATCTAGGATCATGATACCTCCAGTTTTGTTCTTCTTTTTCAATATTGTTTTGGCTATTCAGGGTCTTTTGTGGCTCAATACAAATTTTAGGATTATTTGTTCTAGTTCTGTGAAATATGGTGTTGGTATTTTGATATGGATTGTAAAAATGTATACTTTAAATCCCCAGAGATGTGTGTACATTCTCCAAATTATGTAAATACAAAAGAGTAATATGTATATGTATATTACATATATAGGGAGAGAGAGCAAGAGAGAGAGAACAAGAGAATCTTTATCTTGAACCACTGCTTTATGTCACTATTTAAGTGGCTATCTTCCAGTATCTGTAATTCAATTAATATTTAGTGTTTAAAGTCTTTATTTTTATCAAAAAATGTAAGGAAAGTTAACAAAGTCACAAGCTTTTTAATATTCCAAGTTCCAAAACTGCATAACACAATATTTTAAAAAATTATATGAGTTCAGTTCTGATAAATAAGTAGCATTAATTCATACAATTTTTCTGTTTTATAGATTGCATAGATGACACTATAATAGTTCTGGCCGAAGAGCATGGTTGTCTGGACATTATAAAGGTTTGTCATTAATCTGTTATTGAAAATGTATGTATTTTGTATACTTGAGATCTAATAGCAAGCTATTTTAAAGCTGTGTTTATTTCTGTTCAGACATTTGTTTTTTTCATAGAGCAACAGGCTAATATAAATTAGTATAAAGTCCAAATAAAAACTTTTTAGAAAAATCAAAATGTCCTAGAATAGCAAACATTAGAGTAAAATATATTTTTAAATGGATCATTTTAAATAATTATTTTCTTTTTTAAAAATGTTTTATTTAAATTCAATTTAATTAACATATAGTGTATTACTAGTTTCAGAGGTAGAATTTAGTGATTCGTCAGTTGCATATGACACCCATTGCTCATTACATCACATGCCCTCCTTAATGCCTATCAACCAGTTTCCCCATCTCCCACCCCACTCCCTCCAGCAACCCTCAGTTTATTTCCTCTGGTTAAGAGTCTCATGGTTTGTCCCCATCTCTGATTATGTCTTGTTATTTTTCCTCCCTTCCCCTTTGCTCCTCTGTTTCATTTCTTAAATTCCAAATATGAGTGAAATCATATGATACTTGTCTTTCTCTGATTGACTTATTATTTCGCTTAGCATAATACCCTCTAGTTCTCTCCACATTGTTGCAAATGACAAGATTTCATTTTTTTGATGGCTGCGTAATATTCCAGTGTATATATACATACTACATCTTCTTTATCCATTCATCTGTTGATGGACATCTGGGCTCTTTCCATAGTTTGGCTATTGTAGACACTGCTGCTATAAACATTGGGGTCCATGTATGCCTTCGAATCACTATGTTTTTATCATTTGGATAAATTCCTAGTAGTGCAATTGCTGGCTTATAGGGTAGCTCTGTTTTCAGCTTTTTGAGGAACCTCCATACTGTTTTCCAGAGTGGCTGCACCAGTTTGCATTCCCACCAACACTGTAGGAGGTTCCCCTTTCTCTGCATCCTTGCCAACATCTGTTGTTTCCTGACTTGTTAATTTTAGCCATTCTGACTGGTGTGAGTAAAATATATTTTTTAAATGGATCATTCTAAATAATTCTTTTCTTTTTTTATTTACCAGGACCTTCCTGAAAATGTGATAAATCTTTTGAAGAAGTGTCTCACCTTCCACCCTTCCAAGAGGTTGATATTATTAAGACTTAGAGATTATGCTGACATCTTTAATATATAAGTAGTTGGATTTTTTTTATAATACTAATGGATTAAATAAGAATATTTACATATATATAGGAGTACAAAATTGATAGCTAACAATTATATGTAATTGTTATATATATAATTATATATATAATAATACAAAAGGATTTCTTAGAAGTATTATTTGTTTCCATTTGATGATATCACTGTGAGCCTTACAGTTGTCTTTCCTAAACTCCTTAAGTATACGATATTTGAAAATACTGTATTCTAATTAGTTTTTAGAAAAACATCTTTATCAATACATGTTAGGAAGAGTGGAATGGTAAAAAAAAAAAAACAAAAACCATAATTTGGGGTAAACATGCCACATTAAGAGAGGAGGAAGAAAACCAAAAGGTGGTATTAGTTTAGAATTTTAATTAAGATATTCAGTAACACAGGTAAATCATAGTCAAGATAAAAGTAAAAAATGGAGATGTTTATATATAATAATCTGATAGATTATAAGATGCAAAAAGCACAAAAGGGAAAAAATTCAGCATTTACTTACAGTCACTTCATTTTTATATACAAGTATACATCTAGACTCTGCTAAGGAGTTTTATTACTGTTTTCTGTACTGATGATGTATTTAAGACTTAACTATTCCCTTGAATGTGTGCCATTATTCTAGCAAATTTTTTAAGGGACATTTTCTAATGTTTATTTTTGTGCCTTGGAAAAATCAAACAAATTGCCAATCAATATTTAAGATTCTATTTATATTTCTCAGACACAAATCCATGTCTAAGTAACTTAAAGAAACATTGGTTGTGTTATGGTTGATTGCTGGTTATTTAATGGCCAGTTTGAGTTAGTGATAGTTCATTCAATATGCTGTAACATCATCCATGACACAAGTTTATAAGTACATTTTGCCATAGTTAATTTGGTTGGACCCACTGACAGTAATGTTAATTGAAAATTTGACAGATAACCAGGGAAATAATCATAGTTAACTAGACTAAAAGAAAAATGCACATGAAATATTGCAAAGTATGATTCTTTTTTTCATATTGAATAAACATATTCTAATAAATGTAGGCACAGATGTTTCTAAACATAGATATGTTAAACTCCACATCATAAAATATATTACCGATTCACATTTTTACAAAAAAAACCTGATGTGCTATTGTGTTTATTTAACTCAAGGATCAACAAACTCTTTTTGGTAAGGACCAGATAGCAAATATTTTTGATTTCATGGACCATACAGTCTCTGTCACAACTATTCAACACTGAACTTGTAGCTTAAAAGCAGCTAAAGACAATACTTAAATGAATTAGTGTTGCTATGTTCCAATAAAACGTTACTTTTGGATACTGAAACTTGACTTTTGTATAATTTTCACATATCACAAAATAACAGTATTTTGATTTTTTTCAACTATTTAAAAATGCAGAATCCATTTTTAGCTCATGAGCCATACAAAAACAGACAGTAGGCGGATTTGACCCATGAGCCATAGTTTTCTGACCCCTGATATAAACTATATGCTAGCTCTTACCATTTTTTCTTACATTAATAAACTCTGTAGAAATTTGTTATTTTTCTTTTAATTTTTTCCAAAGCCATATGATTCATTTCATACCATATTCAGAAATAGGCCTACATCATATACTACAAAAGCCATGTATTATGAAAGTTTGGCAAAGTATCCTATCAGATTTCTCAATATAAGAAGAATATTCATATTTCCAATGGTCTTTTCTCATACCACTGTTTTTGAAATTAGGTAAGGCACTAATTTGGCAACACTGTGATATATGGAAGTTTTTATTTTTGAAGAGAGTAATGAGACACACAGATCAGGGAATAAACGTTAAAAGGTCAGCATTACACAGCAATTTAAGAAAAAAAGAAAGTTGATCTACCCTTGTAAACATGAATTATAATTAAAATATCTGAAAATTAATTTTCTACTAATTATAACTTTTTAAATGAGAAGTGATACCAAGAATTTCTAATGTAGAAGTTTGTATCTCATTCATACTGTGTGTTTTAAATTTTTCTCAAGGCCAACTGCAGCTGAATTAATGCAGGACAAGGTGTTTAGTGAAGTGTCACCTTTATATACGACCTTTACCAAACCTGCCAGTCTGTTTTCATCTTCCTTGAGATGTGCTGATTTGACTCTGCCTGAGGATATCAGTCAGCTATGTAAAGGTAATGATAAATAAGACAGAAGACAATATGTTTTATTTTTAGAGAAAGTACCCTTATCCTACTTTCAGTTTTGCATTTACCAACAACATGTATATTACATTAGTGAGGCTTTATGGATACCTGTCTGGGAATTAAGAGATAATTTTGGATATGCTTAAAATATAACTACCTAACTTTTTATTTTTATTTTTATTTTAAATGTTTTATTTATTTATTCATGAGAGTCAGAGAGAGAGGCAGAGGCAGAGTGAGAAGCAGGCTCCCCGCCTAGCAGGGAGCCCGATGCGGGACTCGATCCCAGGACCCTGGGATCATGACCTGAGCCGAAGGCAGACGCTTAACCATCTGAGCCACCCAGGCACCCACTACCTAACTTTTTAATCCTTTATTTTTTTTTAAAGATTTTATTTATTTTTTTGACAAAGATAGAGAGAGAACACAAGTAGGCAGAGCAGGGAGACAGAGTGAGAGGGAGAAGCAGCCTCCCCGCTGAGGAAGGAGCCTGACATGGGGCTTGATCCCAGGACCCTGGGACTATGATCTGAGCCGAAGGCAGCCACTTAATAGACTAAGTCACGCAGGCACCCCTAATCCTTTAAGTTTAAATTGCTTTGGAGCAAGAACTTGAAGAATTGAGGACGTGGAACCAAAAAAAAATCTATTATGCAAACCAAAGTCCTATTTTCATCTCAAATCTTAATGCCAAAATTGCTTTCTAATTCCCAGTGGAATTTCTACTACATCAACATACATATATCCTATTCTATATAATTTATTATAAATGATATCTAAAAATTGTATTATAGGTAGAAGTCCATACCATTATATTCCACATAGTAAGAGAATATCAGTTTTTTTTTCTTTTCATTCATCTATGAAGATTACAACTCTCAGAATGTGTGTTTTAGTGGCACCAATAATACTCTTACACTGAAGAGTTATGATGTGAGTCATGGCAGGAAATATTTACTAAGAATTCATTCAGTCAAATATTTTTTTGAGTTCCTGCTGTGTTCCATTAAAATAAAAATTTATATTACTATTATAAATAAAGGTCAGTATGAAGATAGTGCAGTGGAATCATAGCATGCCTGAGACAATCAGAAAGACTCTTCAGAAGAGGCAACAATTGCCTCAAGAGATGAAGGATGGAATAGTCTGTGTTAGTTAACTATTCAAGTACTTTTTTCTTTTTTTTTTAAGATTTTATTTATTTATTTGAGAGAGAGAATGAGATAGAGAGAGAGCATGAGAGGGGAGAGGGTCAGAGGGAGAAGCAGACTCCCTGCTGAGCAGGGAGCCCGATGTGGGACTCGATCCCGGGACTCCAGGATCATGACCTGAGCCGAAGGCAGTTGCTTAACCAACTGAGCCACCCAGGCACCCAACCAAGTACTTTTTTCTGTCCTTATCCCTTCCTCACAGAGCCTGATATATCTGATATCTGTATGGAATATATATCCCATATATCTCTAATACAGAGAGTAAAAATTCTACTTTTTCTCAAAGAAACTGAATGTACATCCAATATGTATATCTTCATCCTTTGTACAGTTTATAGTATGAATATTCTTAAAGGGAATTTTACTATGTTCTTCAATTACTATTTTTTGAGAATATCAGCTATTATTTCCTGTTGCTTTTTAATAAAAACAATAAGTGTGATAGCTCTCATCCTTTTCCATTTGCCATTAATAGATATAAACAGTGATTATCTGGCAGAAAGATCTATTGAAGAAGTATATTACCTTTGGTGTTTAGCTGGAGGTGACTTGGAGAAAGAGCTTGTCAACAAGGAAATCATTCGCTCTAAACCACCTATCTGCACACTCCCCAAGTAAGGAAAGAAAGTTTCCCTTGGAAATGAAAAAAATTTAGTAATAACATTTTTTTAAAATTTGGGGTTTCTTTGGTAGACATTCCAACTAAGTGATTATGAAAGCAACTGGAAGTGAATACCTTGTTTTCTTGGCCGAGGCTTTTAATTGAAGAATTCACATTAATATTATTTTTAATATTTTTAATATTTTAATAATTTGCTTTATGATCTATTTGAAGTAGACCCATTATTATGGAATATCTTGTAATAATTGATGTTCAATAAATGAAAAATGTACAAGTCAGAAAGAATAGTAATATTCAAGAGAGTTAATAAACTAGGCTAGAGTGCCTATCATAAGTAACTTTTTTTTATTTCCAATTACAATTGTAAATGTAAATGTACTCTTTGGCCTCATTGTCCTAGAGATCATCATGGTGCTAAATCACTGTTGTGAAAACTCTGCAGAACTGCATAAGATCTTGGACATCATCATATAAATTAGACTGAAAGTTAAATAACAGTACAACTCTAAGGACCAAAATTGTTACTGTTCCATTGCTCTTTGTATTTATTCATAAAGATGTGAACTTAAATCTCTTGAGTTTCACCAATGCTTTAAATTTTTAATTTTAGATTTTAGGACTAGATTTGATCATTGTAGGTAACAATACAAATTACGTGCTGATCATTTTTTTCTTCACGTTACATTTTTAGGTTAATTATTTGAATAGAGCACTGGGTCTCTACTTTTTCTCCCCCTTAAACTGATTTTTAAGTCAATTATATTTCTCATACATTGACTTAAGCAGAACACCAGGAAATAAGATGATAGAAATTCCAAGGTATATGTAAATTCTCAAAATTAATTCTCTGAAATCCTAAAGAAATTTTATGCATTTATTATTCACTATTCTTTCTCCTGAGAAGTTACTGTCATGATTTTTCTTTCTTCTTTTATCATTTCTCACTCATATAAACTTCTCAGGAGCACACACACATATTGTCAAGAGAGTAATTTTAGCATTGAATCTGCATGAACAAAGAGGATAAATCACACTCTTGTGTTCCTAAAATGCTTTATATTTATATACTGTATTCATATGAACTCAATTTGTACTTAAAAATGAGAATTGTTTGGTGAAATATCAACCAGCAGTTACATATTTTTAAATTAATCCGTGTAGTCTAAAATTTCTTTCTTTGATGAGGGAATGATGATTTAGAATAAATTTTATTTTCTAGAAGAAGCAATAAATCAGATTTTGTGTGCTCGTTAAAATAATTATTTTTTTTAAATCTCTTTTCAGTTTTCTCTTTGAAGATGGTGAAAGCTTTGGACAAGGTCGAGATAGAAGCTCACTATTAGATGACACCACTGTGACATTGTCATTATGCCAGCTAAGAAATGTAAGAATGGTATTTTGACAAATCTACCTCAGATTTTTTTTTAAATAAAACCTTACAGATATACATGAAGCCTTGAATTCCTCCCTAATCTCATAAAATATGTCAGAGTTTCTTTAAGGTATGTGCCCAGGAGTGATATTATTGGGAAATAGGATCTGTACACCTTCAACTTTAGTATATATTGTTCAATCATTCACAAAAGTAGTTGTATCTTTTTACCATTATTGGATAAGGTTTCTCATTTTCTATATACTTGGTAACACATGATATTATCAAATTTTTACAAAATTATTGCTCTAGAGGCACCTGAGTGGCTCAGCTGGTTAAGCATCTGCCTTTGGCTCAGGTCATGATCTCAGGGTCCTGGGATCAAGCCCTGTGTGGGGCTCCCTGCTCAGTGGGGAGTCTGCTTCTCCCTCTCCTTCTGCCCCTCCCCCCCACTCCTGCTCTCTCTCTCTCTCTCTCTCAAATAAATAAAAAAAATCTTAAAATTATTGCTTTAAAAGATATAGAATAGTTTTTGCTGTAATACTAAGTTTTAATTCCCTGATTATAATGCAGTTACAAATCTCTTCATATTTCTTGGTAGTTTGTTTACCTCTTCTATATATTACTTTTGTAAATTTTTCTACTGGGTGATTTCTTATTGATTTGAAGACTTCAAAAAATATATTCCAAATATGGAGTCTTTGTAGGCTATATGTAATGTATATGTCTTCTAATCTGTGGCTTTTCCTTTAACTTTTTTTTTTTTTTAGTTTTTTTTTTGCCAGTCCTTTTTTTTTTAAATTTTTTATTATTGTGTTACTCACCATTTTTGATGTAGTGTTCCATGATTCATTGTTTGTGCATAACACCCAGTGCTCCATGCAGAACATGCCCTCCCCAATACCCATCACCAGGCTAACCCATCCTCCCACCCCATCCTCTCTAGAACCCTCAGTTTGTTTTTCAGAGTCCATCATCTCTCATGGTTCGTCTCCCCCCCTTCATTCTTCCCCTCCTGCTATCTTCTTCTTTTTTTTTTCTTAACATATATTGCATTATTTGTTTCAGAGGTACAGATCTGTGATTCAAAAGTCTTGTACAATTCACAGTGCTCACCATAGCACATACCCTCCCCAATGTCTTTTGATGGTTTCTTTTAAGGAATATGATATTACTAGGCATAGGTTTTTCTTTTGGTATTTATCCCACTTGATGTTTGTAGTTTCCTGGATCTTTGTTATTTCATATCTTTAATTTTGAAAATTTCTGTCATTTTTACTTCAAATATTTCTTTTGTTTCTTCCTTTCTCCTCTTCTGATGTTTCTATAACACATAGGTTACATCTTTTGATTCTTTATTAGAATTTTTATCTCCATGCTTATATTACCCACCTGTTCTTGCATGCTGTCCACTTTTTTCCTTAGAGCCCTTAGCATATTAATCAGAGTTATTTTAAATTACTGGCCTGATAATTTCCAACTCTCTGACATATCTGAGGCTGGTGTCTTTTTCACATTTTAGCATGTGTTGCCATTTTTTGTTGAAACCCTAACATGATTTACCAGTAAAAAGAACTATGGTAAATAGGCCTTTAGCTCAAGATATAGCTGTTTACTATTTGTGTAGCTTTTTTGTCAGAGGCTAAAATTTCCTCAACTATCCTTGTTCTTGTTCCCCCTGGTGTCTTTGGGTTTCCCTAGAGAACTTTTTTTTTTTTTTTCCCTACAGACTTTTTAAAATAGGGTCTAAGGCCTGCAGCTCTTTCAGCTGGAATCCCCTTTTATATAGGAGCTCTAATGACATGGAGGTATGGTAGGGAAGGGAAGGAGTTCTATAATCCTATGGTTAGGTCGCAGCCCTTTAGTGAACCTGTGTCTCTGGGCTGTGACCTTATATAAAGCTTCTCAGCTTCCCTCCTTACCTTATTAGAGACAGGCAACTAAAAGGCATCAGTATTGGATATTCTTCTTCCCCACATCAATGACTCAGGCTGGCTAAAGTTGGATATCCTCCCCTCCGCCCCCAACACACACAGTTCTTTCTTTAGTAGAGTATAGCAGGGTCTCCTCCAGTCTGGCTGCCTGTTCATCAGATGCCCAAGTCTTAGTCCCATTGTGCTTAAAATCCTAGGCCACAATTATCAATATACTTTATTTCTAGCTTATATCCTTTCTCTCTAAGCCCAGCTTTGGGTCACCTATCATTGCATTTTCCTTATATTTTTAGGCTTTTCCTGTCATTTAATATTTTACATATTATGTAGTAGGAGGCAATTGGAATCTCTTATCTGCCATAATGCAAGGAATAGAACATTTAAATATATAATTACTACATGATACACTAAACTTATCATCTCTTTGAAAAGAAAGAATGTGTATAATGGATGAAATAAGTAGCAGTACAAAGCAACAAACAATAAACTACATCTAAATATATGGTTTTGACTGATTTGATTTTACCCTTCATTTGCTTCTTTAAATATAATCCAAAGTATATGAACATAAGTAAAATGAATACAAGGCTTTAATTTTACTTGCTTAATGACCTTACATTCCTACTTTTGAAATTTAAAAAACTTTTTTCTATAATTATTAAGAAAAAAGTTTATGTTGCTGATTTTAAAAATAATACAGAAACCAAATAATAATTTTTACCTTCTACTTTTCTGTATTTTTACCCTTTTTGTATATGCTAGATTTTTAGTACAAAAAAAGCAGAAAAGTTACTTATAATATCTATGACTTTCAGGACAGTAAAACCCAAATTTTAAAAGAATGTACATATTAATGAGTAAAATTTGAGAAAATATTATTTTTCTACTTAGAATTTTAATCCACAAAAGAAACACCTAAAAGTTTAGAGGCAAAATGGGATAAATCTACAGCACATCAAATTTTAGAGAAAAGCCAGTCATAAAATCAGTGTTTGCCAGAGTCTCAGTTGTGCGTAAAAGATTTTTCTTTGGCTTTTAAAAATTCTGAGGCTAACTCACATGGGTGAGTACACAGTAACTAATCAACAGAAGATCGATGCTGGCTACACATAGAGCTTGAACTTCTGTGTCAATCCCCACAGGAGCAGGTACTCTGCCTTCAAGTTGGAAGTTGAACTGAAGAGCAGAGCAGCAGGCAAGATGACATTAACGTTAATCACCCTACTTAGGATATGTCTACGATTTTACTTTACTATTGCCTGCCTTCTTATGTTTTTGAATATCTATAATCCTGGCAATGTTATTATTTGGAGTAACATTTATTGTAATATGTTTGTGAAAAAAAGAATGAAGAAAACTGAATTTTGTCAGCTGGTTTACCAGCTGTTTGAATCATGCATGTTCAAAGTATGATGTGAGAAATTCTTTTGAATCCTTTTATTAGCACCTTACTTTTGTCTTAGTTTGTATTAATGTCAAGGCAAAAATAAATTGGACTCAAGTTTTAAATTAAGAGATGTGTATTAAAAAGTACCTTCTTATATAATCTTCACATAATTTTAAAGTTTTATCCATTTATTCAATTTTATACTAATTTTAGCAATTCTGCCTTGTGTTTAGAAAACTATCGTAATAGGTGTCTAACATTTATGAGAAATGCCTGAAGGTAAAAAAACAAAAAAACAAAGAATATTCTTTACTGCGAAACTTAATCACTGGAGGCATGGTGTATTTGCATGTTTACAATAAATGGATTTTAAATTCTGTTTTGTAGTTTCCTTGCTATAAATATATAATTTTACATCATTTTCCTTTTAAATAAAGATCACTGTTTCTGTCTCAGATCTTAAATATCATAAATATTTTCTCTTTAAATTCAGAGGTTAAAAGATGTTGGTGGAGAAGCATTTTACCCACTACTTGAAGATGAGTGAGTATATATATATATATATATATATATATGTATATATGTATATTCTTTTTACCATTATTTTTCTTTTCTGTTTCTATTAGATTGATAAGAAGCCTGCCTATTTTTTTGGAAAATTGTTTCCTAAGTAGAATACAAAAATGCGGTGTTCTGTTTTTTTTTTTAATTTTATACATTTTGTCAATTTTTCTCCTTTTGTTTCTCTTTTATAGCCAGTCTAATTTACCTCATTCAAACAGCAATAATGAGTTGTCTGCAGCTGCCACTCTCCCTTTAATCATCCGAGAGAGGGACACAGAGTACCAACTAAACAGAATCATTCTCTTTGACAGGCTACTAAAGGTAGGATTCTAAAGTGTAAGGTGTAAAGAGTCCATATACAATCTTTATTTTTTTATTTCATTGGTAATTCTTAGGGAATCTTGATGTCATGAGAACACTAATTCTTAGGACCTATTTTATCTGATTAATAATAAAAATGATACATGTTAATAGTAAACAAAATTAAAAAGTAAAAACAAGATGAAGGAATCTATGCAAAACCACATTAGACAAAAGATATTTAATATCCTTGCTATTTAAAAAACACTTAAAAATCAATAGGGAAAAGGACTATCATTGAAACAGAGAAATGGATAAAAAACATAATAGAAATACAGCTAGTCAATAAATCTATTCAAAATATGTATCCTTACTGGGACGGAAAAAAAATAGACTTTTTTTCCATATGGAATTAGCAAAGTGAGTAAATGTATATTGAGATTGGAACTCTCATTCTTCTGTAGTAAGTGTAAATTGGCTAAAGCATTCTATAAAGCTATTTTAAATTTTGTATTAAGAGCCTTTAAACAGGTCTGTGATTCAACAGTCTTACACAATTCACAGACCTGTACCTCTGAAACAAATAATACATTATATGTTAAAAAAAAAGAAGAAGATAGTAGGGAGGGAAAAATAAAGGGGGGGAATCAGTGGGGGGAGACGAACCATGAAAGACTATGGGCTCTGAGAAACAAACTGAGAGTTCTAGAGGGGCGGGGGGTGGGGGGATGGGTCAGCCTGGTGATGGGTGTTAAAGAGGGCACACGTACTGAATGGAGCACTGGGTGTTATACGCAAACAATGAATCATGGAACATTACATCAAAAACTAATGATGTGGGCGCCTGGGTGGCTCAGTTGGTTAGGCGACTGCCTTTAGCTCAGGTCATGATCCTGGAGTCCCAGGATCAAGTCCCGCATCAGGCTCCCTGCTCAGCGGGGAGTCTGCTTCTCCCTCTGACCTTCCCCCCTTCTCCTGCTCTCTCTCTCTTTCTCATTCTGTCTCACAAATAAATAAATAAATCTTTAAAAAAAAATTGTATAAAAAAAACTAATGATGTAATATATGGTGATTAACATAACATAATAAAAAATATATATAAAAGAGAGAGGGATGGTTAAGAACAGTAGATTCAGCTCCTCTCTTTGATTGTATTATATAAGATTTACAGAGGCTAGGGAACTATTCCACTACTAACTTAATATGTATTAATAACAGGTAAAATAATTTCAGGTACTTGGAAATTTATTGCAGGTCACCTTCAACTTTATCACTGGTATATTCAGAACTATTTAGATTAAAAGAAGGTACTTGTTAACTTGAGGTATTTTTCATATCTATTTTTTTTTTTTACCTATAGGCTTATCCATATAAAAAAAATCAAATCTGGAAAGAAGCAAGAGTTGACATTCCTCCGCTTATGAGAGGTTTAACCTGGGCTGCCCTTCTGGGAGTTGAGGTAAGAAAGAAAAGAGGTGGGGCACCTGGGTGGCTCAGTTGTTAAGCGTCTGTCTTCAGCTCAGGTCATGATCTCATGGTCCTGGGATCAAGCCCCACATCAGGCTCCCTGTTCAGCAGGAAGCCTGCTTCTCCCTCTCCCACTCCCCCTGCTTGTGTTTCCTCTCTCGCTGTCTCTCTTTCTGTCAAATAAATAAATTAATTAATTAACTAGTTAATTAATTTTAAAAATCTTAAAAAAGAAAAGAAAAGATGTTAGAAGCTGATCAATAGTGTTAAGAAAAAAGGAAGAAGGAAAGTACTTTCTGAATATATATTTTCCAAGTTGTTAGGAAATTATATAGTAAAATTTGAGTTAAGATTATTTGGCAATTTTTAGTGAAAGTAATAGAGGAAAAGAATAGACTAGATAGAATAGAAAAATATAATTGAAGTCTTGTTAGATTTATACTATTTAATATTTTATTTAATGGGACTCAGAAATTATCTTGATTATTCATTTTAAAATCAGAATATTCTAATATATATTTCAGTTATAAGTATATAGCCCTGCTTATAAAGTATGTTCATTTAGAAATAGAACTGCTTATTTATAAGAAATATTCCACTCTAATTTGAACCTTGTCAAAAATCATTAATATAATTTAGTGCCTTTTGGTATATCTATCTTACCAGAACCATGCTGCCTGGAGAAATAGCTACTTTGTCTTCTATAATACCTTATCTGTGGCAGTGAGAAGAGGCAAGGTGTCACATTATTAGAGTGACTTGCAGTACTAACAGAGACTTTGGTGACAGCAGTCATGATAATGGGCCAAATCATTGCCAATTTTTTTTTCATTTCCAGTCAATTTCTTTGTCACCTGCCTTTCTGTATTCTCTTATAGATATCTTATGGATATCCATCACCTATTTTTTGTGTGTGAATTCTCCCAAGTATTTTTAATCCTTTTAACTCTCTATTGAAAGGATTCCTTCCTTTATTCCTGATTTCTTTGGTGAAAGTCTACAAATATCTTTGAGTTTGGTTGGTTGCTTAATAAGAATGCCTGTTATTCCTACCATATGGTAATAATTAGAATTGTAGAACTATATAATGCTAAAATTCAAGAGGAATTCCAAGGTCAGGTTGTCCAAATGTCTAATAAAGTAGATGTACCAAGATGTTGATAGTAGCATGTTACATCAGAGATTGAACTCTAAATTCCTAGCTCTTTCTCTACCATTACAGTAAACCAGAGAATTAAGAATTGATCTATGCTTGATCCTATAGAACATGACAAAAATTTGAAGTAGTTTATTCAGTTATTCTTTCTGTAGAGCTATAAATGGAAAATGTAAATAATCTCTTTAATCCCTTAATGATTCCATTAGGGATTCCATGTGGAATTTCATTCTTTAATTTGTCCCAAACCTGTTCCTTCTGGTGCTGAACTCCTTTAAACAATTTTATTTTATTTTTGCTTTCATTTCCAATTTTACAGGAAAATTTCTCAAGGGATGACACTCCCCAGTTTTTTTTTAAATTTCTTCATGAAACTTACTAGGTGTGAGTTGACAATGAATAGAGCACAGCAAGGCTGTGTTGTGTTGTGGGAGCTGGGAGATGAGCTAAGCATACTCATTAAGTGACTCTTTTAACATATTTGTCTTCCTGTACATGTAATTCAAATGACTGCCTTAGCAAAACAGTAAATTGTCACAGACTTTCATCACAGATTGTAAAAGATGTGAAGAATTTTCTAAGAGGGTGCTTTGGGTTTGAATGTGCCTATCTATAATTGGTTGTGCTTTCAAAGATAGATGTTTCTAAGAACTATATTTTGTCTAAGTCAATAATTTATTAAGGATATGATAAATTAATATATCTTCTCTTATTTTTTGCAGGGAGCTATTCATGCCAAGTATGATGCAATTGATAAAGATACTCCTATTCCTACAGATAGACAGGTATGATTTAGATTTTCTTAAACAACCTAAGACAATTCTGCCAAATCTTTAAATTTTAGAAAGGCAAGAAGAATTTTCTTAATTATGAAACTCAGCAGCCATCATATGTATATGTATATGCATAGCTCTTATTTTACTCACAAGTTAGTGAGTTAGAATGCTTCAAAGGAGTTTAGACCAAGTAACTTTTCCTAATAACTGTACTTTTTTATCTGAGGAATTTGCCCTTTATTTAGACCAGGTTATAAAGGAAGGTTTTTTGAAAACTATATTAATATATACCTTTTCAATAGAAATGGTCTGCTTTTTTGTTTAAGTATACATGCAACTTTTTTGGTGTTTCCAGAGGATTATATAAAATTTAAAAACTTCAGACACCAGGATTATGTAGATGGTCTATTCTGAAATTTAAGATACACTCTTTCCTTTTCCTTATCTTGAGGTTTATTGGAGATCACTCTATTCCAGTTCCACCTTATTGTTTTGCTGTTTTACAGATTGAAGTGGATATTCCTCGGTGTCATCAGTATGATGAACTGTTATCATCACCAGAAGGTCATGCAAAATTTAGGCGTGTATTAAAAGCCTGGGTCGTGTCTCATCCTGATCTTGTGTATTGGCAAGGTAACATTTTTTCCCCCAATTATTAAGCTTCTTTTTGAAGTATTAGGAGCATGTTGTATGACTGACAATTTAAAAAAATTAAAACAAAATATCAAAATATCCTTGGCTTTGAGGAAAACTGTTATTGGTTATCCATTTTTAGAGAGAACATTTTTTTAAACTTTGTCTAAATGCCTAGTGGATATCATTTAAATGCATGATATTTAATGAAACAATTTACTATAATGTTGATTAGGAAAGTAGGAAGAATATTTTGTGCTGTTGTAATCTTTGGGGATACTTTTTTTAATGCTATGCAAATAATAAAATAATATTGTGTCATAAATAATTTGGGGCTAGTTGATATTCTTGTCATTTAATGATTTACAACTTAGTAATCATGGTTATTAGGATTGGAGAATAGGATACCACCCTAAACTGCTTATTATATTTGTTATCTCTCTTTCATTAAATAACTTTAATGTTCTATATCCTTGATTTTTAGCCCTTCTCATTATTTTTGTAGTCATTGATAAATTTATGCATGAGATGGCCATTCTTCCCAGTTCTATTTTTTAATTTGTTGTTATGAACAGTAGTTTTTATATTTTAAATCTCAATTTCTGGCCAAACTTAAAACGAAGCTATTATTTTTCCTAGCCTTATCCCTTTTAGAGTTCTGTATCTTCCTAACAATTATAGATAGATTTATGTGCCTTCCTTCAACATGACAACATATGAACAGCATTATTATCAATAAAAGAAATAGGTAACATGTTTGTATTTTACTTTACAATTTTTGAAAGATTGCTTTTCATCATCCCAGAGAAACTTGTAAGACAAATTTCCATCTCCAGGATAAGGAAACGTGCTTGGAGATGTTAAAATGATTGCCAAGATCACACGGTCAGAGATGAGACTTATAGTTCAAGCCTTCTATCAATTTTACATTTTTCGATTACTGTATTTCTCTCTTTAACTCATAATAATAGATAATAATAACAATATCTGGTTTCATTTGGGCATTTACTATGTGCCAGTCATTATCAATTACTCCTCAAACTACCCCATGATGTAATATATTTCTGGATGAGTAATACTTATAATGCTTAATCTATGTAGAAGTAATGCAGGGAACTGAATAAGGTATGTATATACACTTATATTGATTTATATTTACTGAATTCCTTCCCCCCAACCCCTTCCCATCAGGTCTTGATTCACTTTGTGCTCCATTCCTATATTTAAATTTCAATAATGAAGGTAAGCCTATTTATCATTTAAATAATCATTGTACATATTTTTCTAAAATATTTTATTCAAAGAGGAAAGGTTTTTGTTTTTGTTGTAAGGTTCTTGATCTCTTCCTACTAAATACAGTAAATTTCTGTGAAATAATGTTAGACTCATTTTAGAGGATGTAAGAGGTTAATTTATTAGAGTTTCAGTTGTAACAAGGCAGTGACTAGAAATTTAGGGAGTATCTGATTATGAATTCATCTTCTTTGGTGACCATTTAATGAAACTTTGGAGAAAATTTTGACTTCTTTAGAGACTAGCTTTAGTCTATGTATACTTTCTAAACAGTTTGTAAGGAAATAAATAGTGGTCTTATATCTCCAAAACTAATCATTTCAGTCATTCCTTAATGAAGACTTTTCTTGTTCTCCCTCTTAAACCCATACAGCACCTTGTATTTCTGGAAATTTATCTTGTGTATGTTTTATATTTTAGTTGTTTATATATATACTAACATAGTTACCCTTTCTTTGGTTAGTAGCTTCTTTTAATGACAGGTTTTTTATTTTCTGTCCTCCTCTTTTTTTGTTGTTTTTATAATGCCTCTTTTGTAGTAGGTTTTTCAAAAAATATTTGTTAAATATTTTTTTAAAGATTTTATTTATTTGACAGAGAAAGAGAGAAAGAGAGCAGGAACACAAGCAGGGGGAATGAGGGGGAGAAGCAGGGAGCCTGATGCGGGGCTCGATCCCAGGACCCTGGGATCATGACCTGAGCCGAAGGCAGACGCTTAACGACTGAGCCACCCAGGTGCCCCTATTTGTTAAATTTAATTGACTCTAATCACTAATGATATGACATCTAGAGACTGATACCCTATATAGCATGAATCTCTAGAAGTCTCAATCTTGGATCTCCATCTTTTTCAAATTCTATTTCATGTCAGAATTTACAAAGATTTCAGGAATTGAGTAGAGATAGCATAATTCCAGAGAGCTAAAAATTCACTCTTTGAATGATTTTTAAAATGCACTGTTCTCTGACATCAATACTCATTAATCTAGCAGAGATTTTGCTATGTTTAGTTAAGCATAGTCTATTATCACACATACTGATCCAAGAATATTAAGAGATCTGTGTTTGAAAGAACAATTTATGACTAGAGCTCCTAAATTCAAAGTTCTCAGACTCTTTTGTTTGTATCAACAAAAAGTAAGGATCTAGAGGTCTGTGTGGCTCATTAATAATGACCAAGTTTAGATATTTTTTTTTAAGTATAAAGTTCTGGTAATAAAAGTTTTTATTGTTGTGGGATAATGATTGCCACACTCATTCAAAACTGAAAAATTACTGGGATGGTTATCTTTTATTGTCCAAAATATTTTCTGTTTTAAAGGATAGATGGTTCTCCCCCACTTAATTTTGTGTTTCCATCAATGTTAACTTGACTCTTGTTTAATAGTAGATTCAAGGATTGTGTGCTGAGTGACTGCTGACCATTTATCCCATTAACTAATTTGCTGTATTTCTTTGCCTTGTTCTTTCTTAGCCTTGGCTTATGCATGTATGTCTGCTTTTATCCCCAAATACCTGTATAACTTCTTCTTGAAAGACAACTCACATGTAATACAAGGTAAGCAAATGTCTTTGCTTGTCTTTTTACAGAGAAAGTGCTTGTGTCAAAAATAACCAATACTAAATTAAATTTATGATTGTGACCCCATAAAATATGATAATAATCCATCACTAAAACCCATAAAGAGACCATTAGGTTTAGTCTTTCTTCAAGTCCATAAAGAATTATGGTATTTTTCTAATGACCACTATAACCAAAGACAAATATGTTTTATAGGAAGGAAGTTGCTTTTTGCTTTTATGTTAATTTAATAAAGCCATCCAACTTCAAGTGTCATGTAATGTCAACTTCTGAGAATTTATGAAGTTAGGTATTATAAGAGTGTATCTTGTATCTTATTGAGATGTGTTCCATACTTATTCATAGTTTCCTTATTACCTTTGTCAGTGATGTTTATTATAGAATTGGCAGTATACTCTTTAAGATTCCAGCAAAATCCAAAATGAGTGGATTTAATAACACCTTGAATGATACCAAGAGATTTCAGAGACTATATGATGCAAATAATTTATCAAATAGTGACCAAAACAAACTGAAAAGATTAAAGGTAGAAAATATTCAGGTAAGTATTTGTGCATCACAAAAAGTGATTCCTTAATCTTTAGTTAAGTAAAGTCAGAAATAATGCTGTTATTTTTAAAGCTAACATGAACCCATAATTTTAACTGAATTTTCATATATAAAGCCTGGAAATAATCTTTTCCCAAATTTATCAGGCCTCTCTTAAAGCATAATGCTTAGCCAGAATCCTATACTTTAAGGAAGATGAAGATATTTGGAGAATCCTTAAAAAAAAAAAAGCAATTAAAACAGAACTTATATCATAAAAAAAAAGTATGATGACTAACATAACATAATAAAACAAAAAAGAGAACTTACAAAATGAATTGGGTGGCTCTCAGAAGGCCATATTACATAGCTTCTATTACATTCATTTTTCTTATGGTTCTGTATAAATTCCTATTTCAAAACAGAAATGATTTACCTTGAAAAATTTAGTTTCATTTTTCTGGTAATTGTTTTATAATACAGATGAATGTGTATATTTTATATTGATAATGAATTTCCAACTTGAAAGAAATGAGTTTTTATACTTTTTAGCTGCAAACTTTTTAAATACACTTTAAAAAGGCTTATTATACAAATAAATAAGACAAGATCTTGTTTCATATAAGTAAAAGAGAAACCATAGTGTCCACAACATGAATTTGGAGGGATTTAGTCAGAAAGGCCAAAACCACTCTTAGTTTGTTAATCAGTAATATATTTTAACATTTAGTATTGTAATTTAAAAGACTATACAATCATTTAAATTTTATTTTTATGTTAATAATTTTCTCATATTGTAACTAAAAGACTATACAATTACTTAAAGCTTATTTTTGTCAATGTTAATAATTTTCTCACTTATAATTTCTATAAATTTATCTTTGAAATCTTGAATTGGTAACTAATCTTAAAACTTTTCAAAGCTACAGTAAATGTTCTTTAATATTATGATGAAAAATGTAGCATGTATATTTTCCCAAGAAACAATAAACAGGGTGTCTATTTGTTCAGTTTTTGTATTGACCATATGTCATATAAGAAAAAAAGCAGTTTCAGAAAGAAAAAGAAAAAAGCAATTTCAACAAATGTAGTCTTTCAGTAAGTAATTGTTCTGCACTGACTCTAGGCCAGGCACTACTTAATAGAAGTTTCTAAGGTAAATAACACTCAGGCCTTTTCCAAGGGATTTCATAGTCCAATATAGGAAATAAGTATGAAAATAACTATATGCCAATGAAATAAATATACATACTACTATATTAGCACAGAGGAAGAAGTTGGGGAAGTTATTTTGTGTTTTTTCCAAATTTTCTTTTCTTTTGGTAGCAAAGGGAAGAGATAGCATGTCTAGAAAGGTTTCATGAAAGAGGGGATATTTATTGATGAACTTGAAATTTGAGTAGGAATTTGCTTGGCAAAAAGGGAGAAAGATATCCTTAAGATAGAACAAGGAAGAGAACTGCAGTAAAAAAGTCCAAAATAGGTTGATAAAATAACCAGTAGTCAAATCTGAGGCCTGACGGTCAAAAAAAGAGCTAAAGAATGAGGTGAAACAGGATGCTGATTATTGGTTACTAAAGTTTATGGAAGAATAGTGGTTTATTTTTCTTCAAAATGTTTATTTAGGCTTGGAATTAGAAATATTCAGCTCTCATTTTATTGTTTTCCTTCTTTGTGTATCTTCCCCTCCCCTTTTGTTACATGGTATTTTAAGCTTTAAACTTCAAAGTGACATTGATTTTTGATAAGCATCAGTAACACATGCACACCTTTTCCCCCACAAGATTTGGAAAAGTCGTTTATCATATGAAACCAATCAACTCAACAGCTAATTGCAGAATTGCATATTCGTTGAGTCATTGAATTGTCTCTACAGAAAGCAAAAATTTCAATATTAGATAGCAATTTTAAATGTTATTTGGAAAAAATAATTTGTTTTTATAATTATATACCAGTAGAACTTGGAAGTTTTTATTTTAAATTTTTTCATAAAATACAGTATTTACATATTCATTAGACTCTAAAATGCTTTGCCTCTTACAGAAGGGACAAAAATTATCTGTTTAGTCAAGATATCCTGTTTTGTTTATTTATTTACCATGATTCTATTGTTACCTGCAGACATTTTTAAAGAAGATAAAAAATTTACTTCTAGCCTAAATGAATATTCTTTATCATTTTTGGCACTATCAAATTATCCCCAGTAATGTTACTATTGAGTTGATAAAATATCGATACACAAGAATTTAAAATATACTGGTTAAATAGCTCAGAGTTGGACCTCTAAATTAAGATTCCTAAAATTACTCTTAGAACCTTAGAGTAACAATTGGATTGAAAAAGGTGGAGGGGTCTGAAAGGGATAGATTGGTTAGAGTTGCAGAGATACTGGAAAACAGGCTTATAACTTGCAGAACAGACATACTTTAGGCTATTGAAGAGAAAAAAGGCAACTTTAGGCCAGTGAAGAGAGGCAGCCATTTAATTATTAAGAATGGGAACTAATCCTTTGTGGAAAACCCAACTATACCTTTATGTCATTTTTCAATTAAGAAAGGAACAACCTAGAAAACCTGCCTATAAACTCCCTTAAACTGTACTTCAAAGTCATTCTGATGTATGTTGTTCACCAAAACAGCAATTGGAATTTTACTACAACTTTAAACATTCTTGTACTGTTTGTTTATTTTTTTTGAAAGATCTTATTTATTTATTTGCCAGAGAGAGAGAGCACAAGCAGGGAGAGCGGCAGGCAGAGGGAGAGGTAGAAGCAGACTCCCTGCTAAGCAGGGAGCCCAATGCGGGGCTCGATCCCAGGACCCTGGGATCATGACCTGAGCCGAAGGCAGACGCTTAACCGACTGAACCGCCCAGTCGTCCCTCTTATACTGTTTATAAAACTAAGGCATATTCACACTTGGACCGTTGGAAGATGTGGTTCCTGCAAGTCAGAAAGGGAAAGGGAGAGAGAAATACCATATTAACCTAGGAAATAAAATTGCATGAAAAATTTCCCAATATTCTGTTTTCCTGTATATGTTTCTAAATCCTTTGGGGAAAAGGATGATATCTTTTCTGTAATTCTCTAACATTTAATGTAGTGCATCACATAGCTAGGATGGCTGTATAACTAAACTAGGATATTTTTCAGAGTTTAAAAGCACACTAACTGCACCAGACACTGAGCCTACAGGTGGCAACTGGAATTCTCCATGCAACCAGGATGTATGGTCACACTGCACATAGACATTCAATAAGTTTTTGAGGACAGAAGGAGGAAGGAAGATAGACTAAAGGTGGAGTCTAAAGGCCAGCTGTCAAAATGCAAGTATAATATAAATCTCCTTTCTCATCAAACAATAAGAAAGAGAGAGGGAGAATATGCAATTTCATCAAAAGGGTCATGCATTTGAAAAAACAATACATTGCTTGTTTTGGGTTGAATATACATCTTTGTCATGGATGGCTTTAATGATAGGATATTGGGAGATAGTAGGAAATACATTGAACTTATGGCCTTTGCTGTTTTCAAGAATGTCTTACATCATGTGACTAAGGAGATTTTTCCTGAGACTGAAAATGTTCTGCCTTTACTAGAAATATTATGAAAACTGTTGAGTGAGTTTGTTTGTAGATTTGCTGGAGCAGGGTATGTGAGCCGAAAAGAAAATAGTGTAGGCCTAAAAATTATCTTTCTCTTCTTTTGAACCCACCTCTTTTCTTCGCAAAATAAAGGTTGCTGCTTGTTCTTGTTGTTTTAGACACCAGGCCATATTTTACAACTGGCAAACTTTGTAATGGGAGATAATCTAATTTGGGTTCATTTGCAGTAAAATAATTTTGACTTCTTTTGACTGCTATGAGTCAAAATGTCACCAAATGAATCAGCTTGGGCACATTTTAGTTGACAAGAGATTTATGACTTTCTGCATATTTATCTACACTTAGCATCTTCAAGGTAAACTGACAGCCTAATGGAAAATAACAAATAGTTACAGTGCTTTCAGAACTAAGAATGCCATTTTTGATTTGTGAGCAGAGGAAATCTTTTGCTTTAAATCTGCCCCCTGTCATCCTTCATCTTCTCCTTACTGCATCTAAGACAATTAAAGAAGAAAGACTAGTCAGAAAGGAAAAAATAAGGATACCCATGTGTGGGAACGTTATGAAATTTCATCTTGCATACATTTTATGAAGTTGTTTTTGAAAACAAACAGATGACTTATTTATAAACAGCTGCACAAAAATACAATAGTGTCATACAAAATCCTTCCACTGTCATTTAAAATTTTTTAATGAATTAAGAAACTGTTTTAAAGGAGAGATATAAGAATTTTTAATTTGGAGAGATATTAATAGGGAAAATGACTATTTTTATTTTATATCTCATTGCAAAAAATTAAAAGGTATAAAGTTTCATTAAAACACAGTAATGTATATTAGACATGATTTTGTGCAGTAGTGCGATATTAAACTTCACTTGAAGTCTAGGGAATTTTCAAAAATCTTGATTTTCTTTTTAAAGAATAACATAACATTTACCCTTACATAGTCATCTGTTTCTTAGAAAATACTGTTTAGGGGGTTATATTATGGCTCTAGATGTATATCTTCATTATTAGAAATCACGATTAAAATGTTCTATGAACATTTTAAGAGTCAGGAATATCCTTGAAATTCTTTGTTTTATTTTGACTTCTGGTCTGTTTTTCTGTACTACCCTTAAATTATCTGAGGTTGATTTATAAATCAAAGGACATATGCATTTCAATTTTTTAAAATTTACTCTAGGGAACTTTTAAGTACATTTTTGAAATAACTTGAAATATCACATAGTGCTGACTTCATCAGTTTCACCATATCCCACCTTTAAAGAAATTTTTCTTAATATAACAAACCATAATATAGCTCATTCCAAAGCCTGTCCTGAGCAACCAAAACTTTTGCCAGCCTTATGACTTAGATTTCGATGAGATGCTATGTAGTATATAATAATATATAAATGTATATACATATTTATTTATGTGCATTTTATAAAAATACATATGTATTTGTGTGTATTTTATGTATATACATATATATATACATATGTGTATATGTATATATATATGCAGTTATAACACATATCATGTATCATAAATCCACTATGGATATTTGGCAGAATGCAAGGAATATGTTTTCATTATGGATTAGGTTTCTTCAGTCCATCCTTACTTAGCCATGCAATAACACATAGTAATTATCTTTTATCAGCCTCAGATAAGAATGATATTTAGTAAACTGGAGCATAGCTGTGGGGAATTGGCTGAGGCATGATTTTCTAGTTTAAAATGAAGTGCACTTTTTAAAAGTTAATAACTATATGCTTTCATCAACATATAGTTGAATGCTTATGATTATTGGTGTTACATACCTCTAGCTTCTAGGTAAATTAGGACTGTAAACATATTGTTGCTAATTAGAAGTAGAAAAAAAAAATTAAAGGTTAAACCCAGAAGTTCCCTGAGGCAGTGGGATCCAACCCGAGTTTTCACCTCAATCTGTAACTCTTGAAGCTGATGTGTATTGTATCTTTCTTGTTCTTAGAGGAAAAGATGACACAGTGGATAGATAGAATGAATTCTGTTGCTATAGAGTAAACATCAAATCTAGAAAAATATTAATCAAATGCCTATTCTTTACCCAGCACTCATGGGTAAAAGTTCAAATTAGATCCGGAATTCAGCTTTATCCTGGTGTTGAATACAGCACCGCCTCACCTCGTCTTTTCTTTTTGGTGCTTCTTGGTGCTCCTCTTTGTAAAATATGTATCATTGCTTATAGGTAAATAATTATAAAATACATTGGGGTCATTAGAAGCAAAGTTTTGTTTTTTTGTTGTTTTTGTTTCAAGTTTTTCCTTAAATTCCAGTTAGTTGAGATATACTGTAATATTAGTTTCAGGAGTAGAATTTAGTGATTCATCACTTACATACAACACGCAGTAGAGGCAAAGTTTTCATTGAGGAAAAGAGGGAAGGCTACTTATACTAACAGATTGTCAAGGACTTAGTACTATTTCTGGAAATATTAAAAATAAGGTACTTTAAAAACTAAAAAAAAAAGCAGACATTATTTTTATAGGTTATTTTCACCAAATAATTGGTTTGATCTGCTACTTTATTGGAAGAAGGAGTTGAAGTTATTAAGAGAAAATGTTCATTGAGTTATTGTCTTTTTTTAAAGATATGGAAAGTATTTTATTTTATCATGTGACAGACATCATGTAACAGCCATATTTACAGACACTAACCACAGTGTCGATTTGAATAGGGGAGATGGCTCAGAAATAGCAATATTAGTAGTTCAAGTATTGACCTTATTTGATAACGGAAAACAGTTTTGATGATTTATTTACCAGAGTTTTAAAATGTAATTTTATTTAGTTCTTGTTTTCTTAAAAGAACTTTTGTTTTGAACCAAATATAAACAAGGTACAGTTTATTCACATAACAAAACTGCAGTTGAAAACAAGCTTAAAAATGTCCCATCTCAGTCTGTTTTTCTCTTCTTAGCATTACAAATGCCTCATTCCATCATCATGCTAAATTCCTCAGCATCTTCCATACCATTTCCAGGGGAATCCCTGGGAAGTAGTGAAAGTCTGTCTTCCTTCAGAAAGGCAAAGATAACCTGGAATTTTTCTTACCACATTCTCCAATATTCCTACAACTCACACTTTCTGCTCTTTTGAAATATGCTTCTTTTGGGCACAGCAAGAAAAACACCACTAGGAATCTGAAAACCTAAATTATGAGCCTGTCATAAACTAGAGAATAATCCTAAATACGTCATGAAACCTCCCCAAGCCCTCTGTTTTTAACTGCAAAAAATATAAGTCATATTTGTTCAGTCCTTTATTTATCTTCATAGTAATCATTAGATTTAAGTAAGGCAGCATTCTATTTATTTTATCAAGTTTTTGTCATTTTAATCTCAAAAAGGAAAAAAAAGGTTGAGCTCTTTAAAATATGTGTTAATTTTGTCTTTTTGCTTTGTAAAAATATGGTTTACTTGCCCTTGAGTTGGTGATTGCCGGAATCTTGTTCAGGTTAGAACATAGTGAGTAAATTGACAAGAAAAGCAATTTGATAAAAGAATGGGGAAAATAAGGGAATATTCCTCATATTTTAACTGAACTTATCAATTACAATAGGATTAGAATCAACAGCAGATATTTTTAATTGCCTACTGTGTGCCTATTTTCTGATTAAGATTTTGCTAATTCTTATTCCTAAATATGGTAAATGTAGAGCCTTAGATGGAAATACATTAGAACTAGAACAAATGCCTATATCTGTATATATAAACAAAATTAAAGTATAACTATTCTACTTGTAATCGCTTATAAAGCATTGTTCCTGGGGCGCCTGGGTGGCTCAGTTGGTTAAGCGTCTGCTTCTGGCTCAGGTCATGATCCCAGAGTCCTGGGATTGAGCCCCGCATCAGGCTCCTTGCTCAGTGGGGAGGCTGCTTCTCCCTCTCCCTCTGCTGCTCCCCCTGCTTGTGCTCTCTCTCTCTCTCTCTGTCAAATAAATAAATAAAATCTTAAAAAAAAGTGTTGTTTCTTATTTAAGTATCTGTTCCACTTTCTGAATATACCATAAATGGAAAACAGATTTAATATTGTGAGAGAATATGTATATTGAATTTAATAGGAAAATATCATGTGTGTAATCCGTGATTCAAGAAATGAATCAATAGTTCAGAAGGTAGAAAGTAAGTTGTGCCATAGCTTTTTGGTATGTTTAATAATTAGTAGTAAGTGATTAAAATGGTAATAAAACAGAAAATTACCTACTAAAGTATATTTTCTTCATGGAAAAATTAAATATCATTGAAAATGTAAATAAAACTAATTTATATGCATTTATTGTCTTTATTTGAAGTATTATGTAAAAATGGTGGTTGTATCAAACTTTATTGTCATTTCAGAGTATCTGACCGTGTTCTCACAGATGATTGCATTCCATGATCCAGAGCTGAGCAATCATCTCAATGAGATTGGATTTATCCCAGATGTAAGTACTTGGTACATCAATAGAACCTGAGGCAAAAAATAAAGGAAAAAAGTGGTAGCACAAAAGAGTACTATTTTTTTTTTTTAAAGATTTTATTTATTTATTTGAGAGAGAGAGAATGAGAGATAGAGAGCACGAGAGGGAAGAGGGTCAGAGGGAGAAGCAGACTCCCTGCTGAACAGGGAGCCCGATGTGGGACTCGATCCCGGGACTCCAGGATCATGACCTTAGCTGAAGGCAGTCGCTTAACCAACTGAGCCACCCAGGCGCCCCAAGAGTACTGTTTTTAAAGTTGTGTGGTCATAAGAAGTCCATGTATTCGAACCAGTTTCTGTTATTAACTATAACCTTCAGTTATAAAGTTTGTGTGATTACCTTCCATATTCTCACTTTAAGTAAAGGGAAAGAATGTTATTCTCATTTTTTTGGCACTATCAAATTGTTTTGAAAAACACTTTAGTTTGTTGTTTTAAACTGTGCTGTAAGGGTTTTCACTTGGATTTTATGATATTCAGGGCTGCTTTTGAAGAAGTAGGAAATTTGAACTTTAGTGAATTTTTAAGTAGCTGCTTCTATTTTTTTTTGATATTTTAACCTCAGAAGCTTCGCCAGATTTTGGTTTACTTCATTGGCTTCTTAACAGTCCATGTCAACCCAAAAGTCAGAGTTGACTTTTAGAGGTTAGCCATGGTTAGCCTGTTTGTTACTCATCTGTGGTGCGTGACATGCAGTCAAACCTCTTTTAGAAGCATTTTGGAGTATAGCATCATAGCTTTTTATAAACCTCAAAAAAACATTTTTGAGATAGAGTTCTCCTTATTCCATCTTAACTTTTTTTGTTTCCTGATCATGCCTTTCTTCTTAAGACTCATATTCAGGGACCAGTTTATTGATGGTAAGATTAGAGATGAAAAATGTTTATATTAACACTCAACTAATCTATTTCAAGTGTTGTTTTTTTTTAAGATTTTATTTATTTATTTGACAAAGAGAGACACAGCAAGAGAGGGAACACAAACAGGGGGAGTAGAAGAGGGATAAGCAGACTCCCCACTGAGCAGGGAGCCCGATGAGGGGCTCGATCCCAGGACCCTGGGATCATGCCCTGAGCCGAAGGCAGATGCTTAACCATCTGAGCCACCCAGGTGCCCCTATTTGAAGTGTTAATAATACTTATAGTATAAATACTTGCAGAATGCTTTGAAGTTTAAAAATACTTTCATAAAGTATTTCATTATTTCATTTGATTCTCAAAACAAACCTGCAAGGCATATGAAGCAGATAATTTCAGCATTTAATTGAGATTATAGTGTTTGAGACGATAACAAAACTAATTAGAACTAAAATTTTAACTTACATCATTTGACAACCCTCTGCCCCTAGTCTAGTTCATCTTCCATTGGGAGAATAGAGACTAAAACATAGATGTACTTACTCCTAGTTCATTACTCTTTGTATTGTGCTATATATAATTCTGTGATGTGATCAGGCCTGTAGTAACCATTCTTAACATTTACAGTGTCATTTGCTTCTAGGCTTCTGGAGAAATACTTTTATTTGAGTACATGGTTTGTTCAGTGAGGGCACCAAAAAGAACATATACAGATTAGGAAACAAACAAAATAAGGAAAAGCCCTATAGTTATATGGAGATAAAAGACCTTGTAAAAAAAAAACTAACCAATATACATATTATCATAGTAAGTATTCATTTTTACATAACCCCACGTTTCTTGCTTCACATCATGGGAGATATAAGACAAAACTACATTAAATTTTATGGTTAGAGTTGAAAAAATTATAGAGGAGCTGAGTGCTAAGTTGGTAACGGAATAAGATATTTGAGGGGGAAAAACTACTAATAGCTAAGACACAGACTAAAAGAAGGGATAATTATTTTCAAAGAACTCTCTTGAAAGCACCTAATTGTGCTCGGTAGTAAACAGAAAATGACCTTGGGTCAGGCAGTGTTGTAGATTGACAAAAAACATTTATGCAGAAAAATAAGTATGGAATTACCAAGACAGCCTGATAAAAATTGTACACATATTCATGAATATAGATAGTATTAAGAAAGTACTCATAAAAGGAAATATATAATTTATATTTGCTTTAGTTAGAAAAATTGAACTCTGAATGAGTATGGTATAGGAGGGTGAGCAAAAACCCTTGTTAAAACATAATAATGCAAACATATATTAAGTGCTTACTGTGTGCCAAGCACTGCTGCACCCTCTTTAAATAAACCACTCATCTAATCCTCATAAGCTTATAAATCTAATTAAACAATGACTATTAAATATACATAAAATTAATTTGGAAAAGGCTGAATAGAAAAGCTGAATAGAAATAAAATTTTAGCTATCAATATTAGATAAGAGCAGGTGAGAAGTCAGCTTAAAAGTGTTGTAATGTTTTTATGTTATATGATGGGAAAATAAATATACTCATTATACTTAGGCATTAGGTCAGGGATCTTTTCAGATCTGGGATTTGATTTCACTCAACTTAAAAGCTAATAAATGAGCCTGTTACGGTTTCGTGGGCACTGGCAGAAAACCCAAAACTCCTGGGTCAGAGACAAAGGATGTCATCACACATAGCACAGCAAGCCACAGGAGTGTTAGCATCTTTGTGTTGGTTTTCTTTTTGTTTTTTTTTTTATTTTTTTTTAAGATTTTATTTATTATTTATTTGAGAGAGAGAGAATGAGAGATAGAGAGCACGAGAGGGAAGAGGGTCAGAGGGAGAAGCAGACTCCCCGCCGAGCAGGGAGCCCGATGTGGGACCCGATCCCGGGACTCCAGGACCATGACCTGAGCCGAAGGCAGTCGCTTAACCAACTGAGCCACCCAGGTGCCCTGTGTTGGTTTTCTAACCATACATACATTTCCTAATATTTGTATAAAAACAGCCTTGGAAAATATAATCCAGAACAAAGAGCAGTGTTTCCACTCACAAGAAATGCAGAAGTATAGGATGCATATTAAAAATTTAGTGATAATCATTAAGAAAATAGAGAACATAGAACTTCTAAATCAATGTGGGGTGTGGGGGTATGGAGTAAAGAAAAATCAATCAATCCTGTAAAAATATAGAAAGATCATAGAAAGAATGTAAGCTAATTAGATTGCCTAATAAAGGGAATTTTCAGGTATTTAAAAAAAAATCCATCTGCATGCTATTTATGAGAGAAAAATTTAAGGATGTTAGTCAAAAAAGGAGGTAAAACACGTAAGTCAGGCACATATTAACCAAAATAAAACTAATGCAGTGATAATTGATGTAAACTAGTAAAACAAAAAATATACAAAACAGACCTCCCTATAAATAGATTTTTTCTTTATGTGACAGAGATGGCTCTATAAGCCAATTAGAAAAGAATGGATTGTTGAATAAATGGCCCTGATACAATTGGGTAACTACATGGAGGGAAGGTGGGACTCAAAGCCAACTTCATATGCTATAGAAAAATAAGTTCTAGGTTGACTAGAAGACCTAAATACGGAGTGTCATATTCATTACTTACATCTAGGAAGGAATTTTTACAGAAGTTACAGAAAGTACAAAACATAATATTTAAAAATGAGAAAATTAGAATTGAGTGGTACAAAGGAGCCTTCCATTCTATTGATAAGGTATTATTTTGATTTTAAAAATTTCCAAAACAATTGTCACAAAGTGTTAATCTCTGTTAAATCTGAGTGGAGAGTACATTAGAGTTTGTTAAATGTGCTACTATATAGAGTGAGTTAATTATTCAATAATTCAATAATTTATATATGCTATCTTGATTTATGCTTCCCTCTTTATTATGACCCCTTCCTATAATTAACGGGGCATTTTTGTGTAATTTCTTGTAAAAATTCTTTAATACTAGTATTATTATGAAGTAATATTGATTTATTTATGTACTGTGATTAATCTTATGAGATATTCATAATTTTTTGGGATGGGGGACTGTTCCTTGTGTGATGAGAATGTCTAGTACATGGCAAATGTTGAACCTCACTGGCCCCTAACCACTGACTGCCTGTAGTAATCCCCTAATTATGGTGACAAATGCTGGCATGTATTTCTGAAAAGTGACTCTACATATATTTCCAAACACCCTCAGAGAAGAATTCTTTCACTATTGAGAATCCTAGAGTAAACGAAGAAAAATGAGGGAAAGGAGAATATATCTTAACCTGGAGAAAATTGCTTTGTTCAACTATTCTCTTGTCTCAGAGAATAAGCAAAATGAAAGGTATTTAACAAAGTTAAAATGTTACTAAAAGACTGTTATTTTTGAAATCTTTTATCTTGTTTCTTTTTGGTTTGTTGTAGTTTGTTGGCCTGTTTCTCAGGTCTGTAGATAATATGAAAATGTTGAGACTATTTTTAAATTTAATTTTGAAAACAGATTTGATATTTTTAATATAGAGATTGTTGACAGTGAATAGTGGTGGAAAGCGTGTGATGAAATGGAGAATTTTTGTAACATTTTTCTTGCTCTTTTAATAATCACATATTTTTAGTTGCATTTAGTAGTTTGTACAGTGTGTTTTTGTTTTTGTTTTTCCTTAAATTACTATCTTCAGTGTTCTACCTTTAGAATAATTGCTTAGTTGACTTTCTGCATCTCTAACAATACAGGCTAGGTTCATCAAGGGCAGGGGTGGGCACTTTTGTAATAAGATCCTGAACTGAGTTTCCTACTAAATAACTAATCCTATCAAACTAAGCCCTCATTAATCTTCCATCTTTGAAATACAGGCTCCCATTGCAGGAAAGATGTGATTTCTGGCTCCTTTTCATTTGCTGTGGGTCACAGAACTCTGAATATTGAGCACTGCTGGAGCTTGAATAGTTAGGAATATTGTGCACTGATGTGATGCTTAGATTATATATGTCATGGTAGTTATGCGATTTACATATAAATAGGGTAAGTAATGTGTACCTGGCAAAATTGGGGCCAGGGTGATTTTTATCATTTTTGTCTTGGTGTACGTTTCTGCT